AAAACAGTGGGGATTCTAATAGGGGTATTTTTACCATAAAAATCCATTACGTATGTGTTGTTTTGAGGCCATCAAGACGTGTATAAAAGATCTAAATCGCTCTAAATCATTATCACTGAGCTTTGGCAGTTGATGAAAATGGCCTCCGGYGAAAGTATCCCAGACAAACTTCTTCGTCTTCCATGTCACTTCTCATGGGAATCCTTGCAAAACGAAAACGTTGGTCGCACTGTACAAATGAATATAGACAATCTTGAGGAACACATAAATGAAGCCATTCAAGGAACCCAGGTGAAGTCCTTCAACTTAATGGGTTTCTACAAGACTCAGCAAGGACACTTTAAAGAGGCAAGGGCTAACTTCGAGGACGCTTTGAAATACAGCGAAACAGAAGATGACAAAATCGTCTCGCTTGCTTGTATGGCATGGCTGACTTGGAAAGAGTCTAGTTCTGATTCCTCCTCAGAAGAGCAAGTAGTGGAATGCATCAATCAAGTGGAGAWTATTCTYYGTGGAAGGACCCCAGAAGAAATTCCAGAAGTCATGGCTGAAGAAGCATTTGCTATTGCTAATAGTGGGTTCTCTGAAAAGGGCTTCAAAGTAGCACTCCAGTGTATTGACAAAGCCTTGGCGAAAAGATCAGAGGACGTCATGTACAAGTTGACCAAAGCCACTATCCTTCAGCAGTTATATCTCAAAACTTATAAAAACAAAACTAAAGATGATGATGATGTTCAAGAGATAAAGCTACTTTGGGAAGAGTTAATTGCGTCTTTCGAAACAAATTGCAGTTATCCTGTTCTGCACGGGCAGGCGCTTGTTCACTATGCATCATTTCTACATCTGATCAATGGGGATTATGTAGCAAGTGGAAAGAAGTATGCCGAGAAAGCAGAAAAGGTTGCTCGGTCCAACAAAGCCACGGCTGTCATGAGAAATGTAGCAAGGTTTTACATCCAATCAGCTGGAAAATGCTGTTCACAGTTGGACAAAGCAGAAGCAGTTTTGGAAGAGATTCTGAAATCCAAACCAAATGGCGGCTATAAAGAACTATCAAACCTTGCACATTGCCATTTTAAGAAGTACMAAATGAATTCWTGTSCCGCTACCTTTGCTAAGGCCGAGGAATGTTTTCRCRAGGCCTGGAAGTTGAACGACAAATACTCAAWTAYTRCCTTGSRTTTGRTTCGYCTGTATCAAATGAAATATGACAAAACCAAAGAAGTTTCTGCCCTTGYCAAGGCCGAAGAAATCTTCCGAGCAATCTTTCGCAACTATGAGGGAAAAGAGGACCTGGAAAAAGCGATGATTTGCTCAGGATTTGGAGAATTTCTGAAGGGATATGGAAGARAGCTTGCCTCCTTTTATCGTCAAAAATCCYGTTCCTACTATCAGGGTGCCCAAGKAAGATCACCAGAGATCGAACAAGTTCTGCAGCTAATACATCAGTACACACAGGACAAGCAAGATGAGCATCTTTTACAAGCAGAAAAAMATTTCAGACAACTTTACAACAGCTGGGAAGAACTAAGAGATGAAGTTAAGGCTCGCTTTTGTAAAGAATTTGCAGCGTTCCTCGACGACTATTCAAACGACTTGGCCTTCTGCTACTTGAAAAAGTCTCTTTGCCTCAATCCACACCAGGGATACGCCTACAAGCCCCTGGAAGAGCTTGCAAGACA